TAAGGTACTAAATATAGCTGTGGTGAAACAATGTCAGATGACAATGTTGAAAATAAGAAATGTTTAACTTTGGTTTTGTACCATGTTTCTGCACTGTTACCCCACTCCCTCCAACTCATCCACCTTGTTAGGGATTGATGTGCAATGTGTCTAGAGCCTTGAAACAGATAAATATGTTTTATAATTTCACAGTAAATAAACATAAGCATCGCAACAGGGAGGTGTTACATTGCCTGAATATCAAGCCTTCACAATTTGCATAAATATACACTCCCTCTGGGAACCTTTGTCATATCGACTTACATCTTTGTAACAAATGGGGAAAGTGACACGTGCTGTAAAGCAGTCTGCATAGTTCTAGTTTTTTTATGTGGCAGGGTTACTGCCATCCTCTTCAAAGTAAGTCGAGGTATAATTACAAAATTTATGAAAATGTTTTATTTTTGAAGGTTGCAATGTTACTTAGTGTTGGTTTAAAAGCAAAGTCCACAAAAACACAAGTATTTCAAAGCTCCAATTGAAAAAATACAGCAACTGTGTCCTCTGTTTAGCCTTCCTGTTATCTGCTGAAAGTTTTGCTCTCTCAACCTCAATAAAGCAGCAGTTTAAGAAATGTCAACATTTTTTATTTTATATAGGTTCTTACATCTCACAGTTTAAAGAACCTCAAAGATACTGAATAGAGCTAAATTTGGGCCTTTTTCACTCAGCCTCTAAACTGGCCATTTAATAGAGCTGTAGATCAGTCAGTTCTACTCAACAGCAGGTTTCTCTGTGCATATGTTAGTGTTCTCTTCTAATTATTGGACATGATGATCGTTTAAGACTTTATAGAATAAGGTAAAGGATAAAACTCTCAGTAATAAAACAAAGCAAGTTTTTCAGTTTAACTGGGTAGTTACAATTTGATTAAAAATTAACATCCAACAAAAATTAGCTTTTACTTTCCAAACGGAAGCCGGACAACAAAATGGACATTTAAATAAATAAATGTATAATTTCTTAAAATACTAGATATTCCTGACTAATAATGACCTTTAAATGTTTTGCAGACAAGTTTGAAGATGTTTGTTCCCAAACATTTTAAATAGAAAATGCTCAGATAAATCATACTTTAGACACTAGAACATTGACAAAAATGTGAACCTATCCTTTGAGCCGTTCTTCAGGTGTTGTGAGAAATATTCGGTGTTAAATAAACTTATCCAGTGAGAAACATTTACGAGAACAATATTCTATCAGGTTTGCTCAGTGTACCTTTTTTAACATGTTAGTAGAAATGTTGAGCTGCATGAAAAGGAGAGGAGGCACAGTGATCTCTTAATAACAGAGTTAAGGTCTCCTAAGCATCAAATACATCTTCAAGTTTTGTTTTGCAGTGCAACATTTTTCATATTTTTGCCTTATCTAATAGGTAAAGTTGCCAAAAATAATGCTAACAAAACAGCTGAAATATGTTCGTATAGAACTCAAAGTTTTTTAGCCCTATTGAATATCTCAGAAAAGTCTGTAACTAAAACATAAACGTCAAATCTGAACTGAATTATCTTAAAATATGTTCAGATTCAGAAAAGCAGTTTTTTAAATGTTGATACTTTTGTTCTGCAAGTAGATTATTAAAATAAAATTAGTCAGTCGTTTTTTTCCAATTAGTTATATCTGACAGTCTGCTTTTTACACAAAAATTATCTTAACCCATCTTTTTATGTGTATAGTTTTGTATTCTCAAAGAGGAAATACACTTCGTACAGCTATTTAGAAAAAATTAATTATTAGATTATTAATTATTATTAGGCCTGTAAAGTGAACTGCTATAAAACTTTAAAGTTGAGTTTGAGTTGTAACTTATATAAAAAACTCTATTAAATAGAGATTCCTCTTGATATGTTAGGTAGCACAATAAGAATTAAGTCTAGAGCTTCTAGGAATGTATTCGTCTAATAAAAGGCATTGAAAGTTCAAAATGAAGTAAATAAAGAAAGCAAAGTAAGCATTTTTCACATTAGTTTTCTTAAGATGCTGCACATAGATGATTGTTTTTCTCGTTTCTTAGACAGTAAATTTGATGCTTTGTGAAAACCAGTATACTTTCCAGCTGTCACTTTGTGCAACCTCTACCATACACAGAGAAATTAAATGAGAAAAAAGCAGAGATTAGTTCATGCCTGCAACTCAGAATAGAGGGTCTGACCATTAACCCCTTAGAATCAACTGTTCATTGATTGCAGAGCTTAGCATGTTTGCTGCATGCAAAGCCATTCTGAGGAAACCTCAAACGAATCAAAATGTGACATTATTCATACCTGGATTGGGCATTTACTTCAATCTTTCCCATGATTTATCAAAATAATACCTTGGACATTCTTAGTGACTTGAAATGCAATTAATGCTGTTCCCACCCACCACAATTTAACACCACAAACTTTAGTTTTTCCTCCAAGCCCTAAGCAAAGTGAGTGCAAGAAAGCATGAGCATCCAGAGAAAGGGCGAGAAAAAGACCCAATGAAAGTTGATTTTTGGGTTCATCACCTTCCATGTAGAAGGTGCCCTCAACAGCCTTTTTTTTTTTTTTTTTTATAAACCTTGCTTCTGTTTTTAAAATTTGCACCTTTCTATGGGCTCAGAAAGACAGCAGTCTTGCAGCACCAGTGAGGATTAAGAGAAGCTAATGTGAACAGAAGAAAGAATTACCACAGAACTGAGGTCACTCTAATGGAGAAAATAAAAATACAAGACATAATGAATGAGGTTACATGCAAAAGTTGGTGACAATGAATATACGCAGTTGAAAATATATATAAAAATGAAAATAAAAAGCCTCTACTATAAAAACCCCTTCATTTCCAGCTCTGAGTTTCAAACACCAGGACAGGCCTCCAAGAGATCGAATTGTGAACCCTTTGAAATCTCAGGGGATCAGAGGGTTTTCAAGTAGATCTAATATAAAGCTAAATGCTTCTAGTGGAAAAAACTGACTACAGCACTAAAATATGACAGAAAGCGTTAATAATAATGATGATGATAATGAGCGCTTCTTACCTCTGCATTGTAGAACTTTGTCTTCACATCCAGCGGCTTTAAGACCTGATTGAAAATGGATTGAAAACTAAAAGCTGAAGCTTTTTCACAATTTGCTTCCATTGGAGAGAACAAGAAATGAGATCTACTAAAACACAAAAACAAATCCGGCTAATTCTAAGCCTTAAACCTACTCTACGAAGAGAGGAAGGCTTCGGTTTATTCCCAAAGTGAGGAGTGATGACTATAAGTGGGGAAGGGTGATTGCATTTGCACTGCTGTGGGTCTGTGGCATTTCTCGAGTCTCCTCAAAGGCCAAACCTGATTTTCCCACAACCAATCTAACGAGAACACACAGATGTACATCTCACCTGGAATTTGAAGAACTTCCGAAAATAGAGCTTCTCTCCAAACTGAGAGGTGTAGCTGACGGCACACACCAAGCTGTCGGGAGAAAGAGAGCCAGAATTCAAAGCCAGAATTGTTTACTAGAGAAGTAAAGTGCCTCTTTTTAATTATTCATAGTTTATAACAACAAACCTCAATGTTCTTCACTGGAATCGTGACAGCCCAACGCAGAGGGTAACTGTACACTGTAAGTATTTAGGAAAATCTCTTCCAACTCCCTTTGCAAAAAGGCTAAAGCTCCATCAGATTATACAGAGCTCATGACTAACCACAAATTCTAAATGAGATTTTTTATCTAGACTTAAACGCGCATATATATATATATATATGT